GCATGAGGCACTGAGTTCGATTCTCACCACCACATAAAAATAAAATAAAGATATTGTGTCCACCTAAAACCAAAAAATAAATATTTTTTTAAAAAATAATAATAATCAGCGATACAGTATGAGAACACAGATTCAAGCATCATACTGCCAGGAATTGGCTGTGCAAGCATGAGCACAATTCTTAACTTCTCTGTACATCAGTTTTTTTCATCTAAAACGAGGCTAATGATAGCACCCACTCCTTTAGGGCTGTTAAGAGAATTTTGAAAATTAATGTTCGTGAAGTACTTAGAATATCACCTGGTTTACAGTAGCTATTGTAAACAAAGTAACACATTTTCTTACTGTTTTTAAGTTAAATAAATTCAGATACTTAGAAATTAAATAAATGTGTGAACCCTGACATGTTCAGAGAAATGGAAAAAAGTATAAGCATGAAATAAAATCTGAAAGTGTTCACTTTTGTCAGTAAGTCCTCTAAGCCAATAAAATGCATTAATATGTATTCTAATTGCCTTTTGATTGTAGGATATAACTGTTTGGCTTCCATACCTGTGATATGATTTTGTAATCAATGGTCTTGTTTCAGATAATAAACAAATTGAATTCTGAATGGTTGAGTAACTTCTGATACAAAATCTAACCACCTAACAACTTCTAATCTGTGGGTATCAAATTGATATAAAGGGAAGTAACAATTTAGAAAATGCGTGGGTACAAGATTAGTTTGCCTTGTTAAGGTGATTATTCAGTTCTTAGGAAGAGAGCCAATAAAAAATACTGTCCTACTTTTAAAGAGACACTTTCTAAGCACTAAAGTCAGGAATCAAAATTATGTGTTATGAAATCTAATGGCTTTTTAGTCATTGCAAGACATTTTAACTACTGATGTTTAAATTGATTTCCATATTAATTTATGTGAAATCTTTGAATATAGTATGTCTTATAGAAAGTAAAATATTTGTATGTTACCCTCCTATCATCTACTAAAATACAATTTCCTGAAACTACACTTCAAAATGGGATTGTATACAGGACTTAATAGCTGGTGGTTAAATGTTTAAAAAGTAAAAATTTTCATAATGTTTTTATTTATAGGTATTTTCCTGGGGAAGGTCCAATGGACTTTTGTTATGTCAAGTAATAATATTAGTTGAGTAATGTGTTGATGAAGTGTATTGTTAGTTTTTCTTATTTCATAATGTTAATTCATTTAACTTTTAATAAGCATTTATTTAATGGTTATGTTGTGTGAGCTGCAATGAAAATGTAAAAAAAAAAAGTTAACGCTCTGGTGCGATTTGGTTTATTTGGAATAATTACTAAATTATGCATTAAAATTTAGAAACATAAATAAAAAAATCTCTTGGAATTACTTACATTAACTTAGACTATGAGTCTTCTGTATTATAAGTTGTAGATTTATAACTGTTAGCGTGTATTCTAAGAGCATAACTTAGACTACAAGTCTTCAGATATTTACTCTTTAATATACTAGGCATTGCATATCAAGTCACCTTTTAAAAGACTTTAACATTGACTTTTCCAGAAACCTTTTCAAGGACTTAATTCATGTATTTTCCTGAAATTGTGAGAAAGTTTCATATTTCTTATAATAAAAAGAATATTTTCAAGAAATGACTTAAAATATTCTAATTTTTTGTCTACACACATCCTGTCATCTTTTTAACAAATTTAAAAATATTGACAGGTAAAATTATATATACAACATTTTGATACAAGTATATATTGTAGAAAAATTAAATCATGTCAATTAACCTATTAATCACTTCATCTACCTATCAAATTTTTTTTTTTGCAAAAATGTTTAAAATCTAATCCTTTAGCAACTGTGAAATATACATTATTATTAACTATGATCACAATGCTGTTCAAGAGACCACTAAAACTTATTCCTCCTGTCTAAACTGAAACTTTATAGCTTTTTTCAAGTCATGTTATCTTAAACCATATATATATATATATATATATATATATATATATATATATATATATGATACACATACATTTTAAACTATATATTTAAACACAAGGTGACAAATTTCTAATTTTATTTATTATCCTAAAATGTACTTTGTTAAAATAGAATATGAATCTGAGTGCAAATGGCTTACTCAAAAAAATAAATCAACTTGATAAAAATATTAAAATTGATTTGAGTATTTATATAAAAACCTAATACTTGGATTGTTTCTATTTTTCTAGACAAAAAAATCAAAATTATTTAATAATATTTAAAATCATGTTTAAATTATTATTACTATATTAATAGCTCTATTTTCTATAGAAATATATTCCTAAATAAGTGAATATCCTTGGAATTATTCTATTTGCTTATGTTTTGTCCTCATAAACAAAGTAAACTGACTGCTCAATTTTAATTTTCCATCTCCTTCTTTGCACTTGAGGAACGCATTCATATTTAGATTTTAAAAACTACAGGTGGATAAAAAGTAATAAATACAATGTCCTTCCATTCCACTCTCTTCAATAAACCTGATGTAATCTCATAAACAATAGGTCAACACATTTATCCTCCTGTTGAATTACATGTAAGATTGAGAAAACATTTTTATTTTATGCTGATGCTCTCATAAATGGGCTCATTTAATACTATTGAGTTGCAACTTAAGAGTTTTTTTCTACATTAAAGTTAAAGATCTGGATATTTACTTTTGCATTCTTTCAGTGACTTAAAGCCAGAATGATGTGATTAGTTCCTTAAATTAGGATGCTACAGTTACTAATAATGGAATAAAATCTAAATTATATTACTTTGAGATCAGCAATAGGTTCACATGAACTATTTTCTTTTCTGTATCTTCCTCTTTTAAAGGAAAATACAGTTTTCTTCCTACTGCAGAAGTATCAGATTCTTGCAGCATCCATGACACTTGTAAGCATTCAGTGGTCAGACACCACTACATATCCTTCAAATGATGTGGCCCAGTGAAGCTGGAAGGTGTCGTCATGGACTCAGGCAGTCTAGTATCTCAGCCATCCACCAGGACAGAGCCAGCAAGCCCCAGCTGGTGTGCTGAATCCAGAGGAAGGTGGGAAATGGATTCTGCATTTTCAAAGTCAACTCTCCTAACAGTGAATTCTAGGACTTACTTACAGATAAAGTGCATTAAGGGCTCCAGAAATTATTTATTGGATCATATTTGTAAAGCTCATCTGCCCAAATTACTCTTAGAGCAAGTTAAATTTTAATTTTATTATCCTTCTGGGTTTCTGAATTGATACTAAATTCTACATCTTTAAAATATAAAAAAAAGTATGTTCAGGGTTATAATTGTGTGGTTTGAACTCTTGACTCTGTATGATATATGTTAAATGAAGAATACTTATAGGTCATTTAAAAGTGAAAAAAAAAATAACAAAATGCTAATCCCCAATGTGCATTGGTATGGTAACACTTGCCCATCACACTGAGCTTGCATTTTGATCTTAGACAAATGGAAAACTCTTAAAAATAAATAAATAAATAAAGACACATTTCATGTCTTATTTCCACTTGGACTCCTGTGCTCTATGTTCGAGTATAAGAGGGTTTGTATTCTTGCTTCTGCTATTGTCCTATTGTCATCTTTTGATACCACAAGACATTAACTCATGTCCAACAGATATTAGAAAAATCAACTTACAGGATTTAGTATAGGTTCAGGATATCTCATGAGAAATCTTGCTCCTGTTGGCCTCACCTTAACACCAGTACTGCTAAACAACTGTGGAGAATATCCTCCATTTTTTAAAACTTTAGTTAGCTAGGTCTGGCAGAAATATCACAACAAATCCCAAACAATTCCACAAGGTTGCACACAGTGGACCCTATCCCTTACACAGCATTCTGTGTGGGAACATGCCATGACAGGTTTTCAGAACATGTACTTTCCTAAAGCAACACTTGGTGGTTTAGGCTGGAGTAGCCCTGCATCTGGAATCATCATGTTTTATCATGAGAAACTGAGAGGATACTGTTTCTCTTTTCTAAAAAGAGAAAGAAACCCTTTGCTAGGGCTCATTAAAAAGGGTTTTAAAATTGGAGCCAATAAAACAGGGCTGTCAATTCCTACAGTCTTTTCATCTCAGCAGCATTTTAAAAAGCCATTATTTCTCTCTCCCTTTTGACATGAACTCCTATTTGCAACACAGACATAGACACATTCTAAACAGCAACAAGAGCAGCACAACTCCCTAATTTCTTTGCTACTCATGTTCAGGCACACAGACCACCAAGAGCTACAAGATTCTGCTCCCTCCCACTCCCCAATTCCCAATTTGCAACTGTACTCCTCTTTGAACTGGAAGATACTAGGCAAGATTCCTTTTGCTTTGCTCTTCTTTAAAAGCGGTAAAGAAAGGTTTTCTGTAAGATACAAAAGTTTGCATGGCCACATTTCCAATAGCAACCCTAACACACAAAGCATTTTGAAGTTCTAATCTCCAAAGGGAGCAGACCTCAATCACAAAACACATAAAAGCCAACTTGAGTACTTGATAGAAATATGAACGCTATCCTCTGTTGGCATGCCTGGGCACTTTTGCTGGCCCAAGACAGGAAAGAGGAATCGAGACTTATCACAGAAACCTTTTCCTTGAGCAAGCCCATCTTGAGATTTGGATGGTAGAGGCTATGGTAGAGAGGCTTCCAAAACTGCACTTTTAACTGCCTGGGCCTTTGGCCCCACCTGCCTGTCAATTTCAATGTGAGTCCACAATTCTCACATATCCTGCTGTGGGGATATAGAGAATCTGGGCTTCTGAACGCTCAGGGATGCCGTTAGGCCAGTTGCCTATTGACCTTTCAGGGACTCTAAAATCAACTTTCTCTACACCTTCTGAATTGTTTGCGTTTGTTTTCAGCCTGTCGGAGCCTCCTGCCCAGCCCACCCTTCTCCCCCCTCCTCCCTGCCCCCTCCCCTCCCTCCGGCCTCTCGGGCTCCCCCCACCCCGCCCTCGTCTTTGTTGTCTCCTACCTGCTGGCCAGGCTCTGCCTGCAGTGCTGCCTGAAGGGCATCAGGTGGTAGTTCATGGCGTCCAGCAGCAGCTTCTGGCAGACGGGGTCGGTGCGCATGAAATCCACTGACTGGACCCGCTCCACCAGCTCCGGGGCCGGGATGAGTGCGAAGCGGAGGCGCTTCATGAGGTCGGGCGCGTACTGCATGCGGGTCTCGCGGTCGTGCTCCAGCCACAGCACGGACATCTGGAAGAGCGCCAGCTCCGACTCCACGGGGGGCGGCAGCGAGTCCAGCAGGGCGCGCATCTCCTCGAAGTTAAGCAGCAGCACATCTTCCACCAGGTACTTGTTGGCCAGCTTCTTGGTCTCCTCCAGGCCGTGCAGCGCAGCTATCTTACACACCTGCTTATAGTTCTGCACTGAGATCTGGTCGTTGAGGAACTGCACACAGAGCTTGGTGACCTGGGGGATGTGCAGGATCTTGCTGACCGACAGCACCTCCTCCACCGTGTCCAGGGAGAGGGTCACGTTGGCGGTATAGAGGTACTCGAGCACTAGACGCAGCCCGATGGAAGAGCAGCCCTGCAACACCAGGTTGTTGATGGCCCGGGGGCTGGTCAGCAGCTTGTCGTCGGGGGAGGAGGAAGGAGTCCCGGGCTCCTCCTGTGGCGGCGGTTGCTGCTGTTGTGGCGGCTGCGGCTGCTGCGGCTGCTGCTGCTGGTCCTTGGGGGCCCCCAGGCCGTCCTGACCGCCGACCCCTCCCCCGAGAGGGGGGTGGCTGGAGAAGAGCGATCGGAAGTACTGCGAGCAGGAGGCCAGCACGGCCTTGTGGCAGTGGAATTGCTGGCCCTGGGCCGTCAGGGTCACGTCGCAAAATAGCTGCTTCCTCCACAGCAGGTTGAGGCCGTGCAGCAGGTTGTCGCTGTGGCTGGGGTCGAAGGTAGAGGTCCTGTCCCCGGATCTGGACATGGCGAGCTGACTCGGCGCACCTGGCTTTAAACCCTCCTCCAACCTGGCAGACAGGGGTGGGGGATGGGAGGGGGAACAGGGTGGTAGAGGGATGGGGTGTGGTCGGGGTGGGGAGTGGTGTGGAGGGGAGGGGAGGGCAAAGAACAACAATCAAGGCTCTGCTAGGTTCCCTCCCGGCGCGCTCCGGACCCTGACCCTAAGAGAAAGGTCTGAAGGCTCTAGATCCGTGAGCGCCACCCGAAGGGCCCTGTCTGGGGTCCGGGCGCTCTTTTGGCTCCTCGCTACCTTCCACACACTTCTTCCCTCACTTTCTTAAAACCACCCCGGCTCGGCAGTTGGCAGCGACAGCGATGGCACCAGCGACGGCAAAGTGGAGGCTGAGGCCGAGACGCCTCGTGGGCTCGTGTCCATGCCGGGCCAGATGAAGGGAAAGACCGGGATTGGGGAGTCAGGGGTGCCTCGAGAGAGCAGAAGCGACCGACGGCAGTGGTTCCAGGTCAACTCGAGCTCCAAGCTTTGCTTTTCGTAGTTGGCCCAGTTTAGGGGAGTAGGGTGGGAAAGGGGGCCAGACAGGCATGCGGGTGGGCGATTCTTAGCTCTCCAAAAGCCGGGAACCCCTTCGATTATCCGTGCTGCCCTGAGAAACTCCTAGGCTAATAGTCTGAGGGAGGAGATAAAGCCCTTTCTTCTCCCGGGAAAGTGCAGCGGAGCGCGGTGAGGACCAGCTCAGTGGACTCGGAGAGGCGGGAGCTGTCCTTATCAATTCTAGCTCATTTCCCTCACCCCGGCCCTGCCCGCTTCCCTGCTTCGCAAACTGTTGGCTTCCCCGTCACCACTCAGTTTTGCTAATTTTCCAGAGACGCCTTTAAACCTGGCAGAAGAATCCTTCCACCCCCCATCCTTATCCCCCCCACCCCGCCTCCGGCACTTAAAAGCACGGAAGTTCAACATCTATCTCCCCTTCCAGCGCGGGGCGGCACCGAGAAAGATGAGGGGGAAAGTGGGGCTACTAGGGTGGATTTAGAGCAAGAATCTGGGGGCCAGGAGGGACTCCTATGGACGGTTCTCCCTCCAGGGCACCAGGCACAGCCGCTTTAACTCCAGTAACTGTGAGAAGTTCAAGTTAGAAGGCAGGTGTTGGGGGAGGGGTGGGGCTGGCCAATGTTGGGGGGGGGGGAGGAACGCAGTCCGGTTCGAGGACTGCTTCCCACCCCGCGCGGTTCTTGGAAGCCGCAGCTTCCTTCCCAAACGCCTGGGTGTAGCCCCCAGAGGTCCCCCATTTGGGCACCCCCACTCCCCCGACCCTGGAAGTACTTCTGTAAAAAGTCTGAGCTGCCCGCATCTAGGAGGAGGTGGGTAGGGTGGGGGAGGCAAGGCGAAATCGATACGCCCGGTCCTTAACCTGTAATTGCACCTTCCAGGGCTGAGCCGAAAGGGACCCTCTGCCCGCATCCCGCCCGCGCGCCCGCCGGGGAGAGCAGCCGCCGCCGTCGCCGGGCTCAGAGGGATCCCGCCGGACCTGCCCCTTCCACTGCGGCTCACTCTGCCCTGCCTGGCGCCAGTCCTGGATCGCCGGCTTCCCATTTCTACCGGACTGGGTTCCTCTCGACTCACTTTACCATCCGGTTCCAGGTGGACCCTAACCTCCCTCGCGCTCCCTCCCCCGGCAGCACCCCACCCCCGCCCCCGCCCCCAAAGCTCTGGCTTGCCGGAAACCTCTCTCAGAGTCTCTCTCTGGAAGTGGCCCCGGTCATACCTCTCTCTTGCTCTCCCCGCTTCGTTGTCTCTCCCCCCCCCCCCCCCATCTTTTCCTATTCCCCTTCCTTCTTGTTCTCTTCCCCCCATTTGCTTATTCTTGCAATGAGAGTTTTATTCTTTATGAGCGTTTGCCACACACCTACCCCCCACCCCTCTGAAAGACTCCCTCCCCCTTCCAACGACCCGAAAGACAACAAAAATACACACAAGGCAGACACAAGGCCAGAAACTTACCTGCTGTCAACCAGCTGCAAAGTCAAGGCTCACTTAAGCTCCCCCCCAAAAATCAATTGTCCTTCCTTTTTAAAGGTTTGCTCTCTCCTTGGGAGGGGGAAAACACCTTCTGGTTCCCAACTCCAGGCAGTCACTCTTTACAATTTATTTTGTCGTACATCATTTGATCACCATGAATTAGCAACAGCAAGAAAATGTAGGAGAGGGAGAAAAGAGAGAAAGAGAGAGGGAGAGAGAGAGAGGAGAGAGAGAGAGGGAGAGAGAGAGGGAGCTGAGCTTTCTGCAAGAGAAGAAGAAGAAAAAATGTACGTGTGACAAATTATGCTACCAAGAAACAACACATCATTATCCTTGGGCCTGGGGCTCAGTGAGTCGTAACGAGAGTAATAGGAAATCCACGGTTGGGGAGAGAAACGGTCGTGCTTGGCCAGTAGAGAGAGACCATACAGGGGGATGGATGCTGGAGAGACTCGCAAAATTATGGCTCAAGGCTATTGTAAAAATTGTCGAGCGTAAATGACTGCGATTTCAAACATCTTTGGAAGAAAGAAGGGGAAAAAGCGAGCCCCCCCTCCCTCCCTCTCCCTCTCTCTTCTCTTCTCTCTATAAAGAACCGTCAAGTTTTAGTGCGCATTGCTAATTAGTCAATTTCTCTCTGCCTTCACAGGCTGGCGACTTCGCTGCTGAGCTGAAACTGCTAATTTCTGTGACCAGCTTTTTTCTTAGCTGTGATCTGGATGAATGAGTAGCTGTCTCACAGAGATGACAAAAATAAACTCTAATCCCCCCAAAAATTTCCACTACATCTTTCTCATGCATAGATTTATGATCTTCAAGCGCTCTGTGCAATATGCAAACTTTTTTTTGTGTCTGTATATATGCTGTTGTTTCCAGATTTTACTACATTGGTATGCTGCTTTTCCCTTCCCCCCCCCCCCCACCTCCCCACACACATTATGAAATGCAGAAACTGTCTGATCTCAAAGTATGCTTAGATGCCACTTTATCTGGTGTTGGTTTTGGGGGTTTGGGGATGACTTGGAGGACACTAGCCTTTGCCTAAGAGGTGAATGGCTGAGTACATAAACTGGTGGCAGGGGAATCAAACTGGTAGAATAGAGGGTAGCCCTTTGCTTTATATTTATTTTCCCTTCACTATTCAAGCCTTATGATCTTGTTTGAAAACATGTTTTTTCTATCTTTTTGTCTGGTTAAACAACCACCTCTGAAGTTCTCTGTCAGCTCTTCAACAGATAAGGGTTCAGAAATCACATTTTTTTTTTTTTTGGTAGGAAGATGATCATATTGTCAGACTTGTATTTCAATTAGGAATCTTTGATTTGCAGGAGCTAGAATCAGGTGCTAGGCAACCCAGCTACAATTTCACAAATGTAACCTTTCAACTTTGGAGTTCACCTGATATATAAGGGCAATGACATGGTGCTCATATTTCTGACCCTGCTTAGCATGCAAAATGAACCTCAGCATGTTTCTGGAATTCTAGCTGCACCAGAGATTCATGTGAATTTTGGTAGAGGACATGTTCTCCAGACTTATCTCATGATGTATTGTGCCCTTACATTTATAGCCCTGCATTTCAGTTGTCAATGGGGGTTGGAGGTGTCCAAGAAAGAAAAAAGGAAGCAGAAAGAGAAAGGTATGCCCTTGAATAAAATGGATGTGAAAGAAAGCTGGACATGAGTTAAATTGAGTTTTGCTTGCTATTAAATACATGACTATGATTCATTTTAATTTATATATGCTCTGATTAGTCTCCTTATTAAAATACACATCAGGGTACCCCCAAAGGCTGTCTTTTAACCTCCTCTTTTGATTTGTGAGAAAGACACCTGCTTAAGGGAGGGGGGAGCAAACTGAAAATTCAGAGGTTCCAAAATAGGGAATTCCTCATCCAGAATGATAAACATTAACTTGCATGTGGAATATTTACTCTTAAATAAATGAAGAAGGATGAAACAGAAGCATTTATTCCTCACAAAGGCCCTTTTCAGCCAAGGTCCTATATAATCTGAGTGCAAGACTTTTTTATTCAGATCCTGCTGAGACACTGCATTCTCATATTCATATTTATAACAGAAAAGCTCAAATACATAGTAAAATACAAAGGATTTGTTTGTTTTTTTAGGACAGGGGAAAGAAAGCGATCAGATTATTCAAATTCTCTGGTCCTACCATTTTATTTTATTTTTTGAATTTCCATTATTTGGATCTTGAATAGGAAGATTGTGAGATTGTAAAATAGTGCCTTTTGGGGTTCTGTCATTAGCAATTAAAGCTAAGTATGTGGAGTGTCACCAAATTCTCATAGATGCAAAGTACTATTTTTATGTTATTGCTTTTCATGCTGATATTTATGAACTTCCAGTGAAGTATTTTGAACTAAACCCAAAGGTGAATATCAGTATTGATTACTTAAATTGTTCCAGCTTCCCATTTTATCATAAAGGAGTTAAAGCACATTTTGTAGGCCTCAAAATATCTTAGAGTTGAATTTCTTTTCTTTCTTTCTTTTTTTATTGATAGAATATATTGGTCATTAATTATGATTACTGGGCTCTTTATTGCTTCCAAAAATATAAAAGCCATATTTCAAACTACCTGAAATTTTAATGCTTATTTAACAACTAGGTAGAAGGGGTGAAAAGCAGGGTTAGGGTCTTGTAATTCTAAAACAGGTGTTAAAATGAAGTGGAATGATCTGTTTTCTTCTACATCTTAAAGTTATCCTATTTGACAATGCTTATCATTTCAGAGAAATAAATTACAATTGTGATTATTTTGTAAGCAATTAAAAAAAGAATATTGATAACAAAAAATCCCTTTATAATCTGAGCATAAACTAGCATATATATCATGTAAATCTCACACCTCCAATATCTTGCACTGGCTTTGACTGAAATTATTACAGAACTCACAAATGATATGACACTATTTACAATAAATCCCGTTATGAAAGATTCAATTTGCAACAATCAGATGCTAGCTACTAAGCGATTGTAAGTATTTGAATTTTATCCTACTTCACTGTTCAACGTACAGAAATTGCATCTGTGTGTTTGATCTGTCCTGCTGAGCACTATCAGCAGCTCGCATCTCTGCCACTATTGTTTTTAAAATGGCAGGAAGGACGTGACTAGTCAAGAGCACTCAGCAGGATGGATTTCACATGGCAGAGAGAAGCCAGAATTGTCTTTGAAAAAAATACATAATCGTGTAGTCATCTAATTCAAGCAGTCTTCATACTTCAACAGAATTATCAAAATTATTCATCAGTGAATCTGCATTTAAACTATGTACAGCAGAAAGATTCTGAAACTATCACCACTAAGCAGTCTACTAGTGCTGCCATTAGCTCTGAGCTGTCTGGTTGGTCTTCAAGGTGGCAGAGATTCAGGCGTATGAGTGACTCTAGCTGCTCACAGGCAACTTTCTAAACTGAATGAACTAAAGATTATTCTTAGGGCAGATCTAGAAGTGTTTTACAGCCTAACTTGAAGGAGTAGCCACTCTAAAACTTTATTTTCCTCCCTCTTGACTTTCCAGGTTCAGATATATGAGCTATCAGCAAATTGTATGCATATTTGAACCTGGCCTCACCTGTGTTTTTTTGAGTTAGTAAATACTATTTCCTCATGGCCTGACCTTTAAGATTGCTAGGAGAAAATATTCCATTTTACAGATGGAAAAAAATTAAGTTGAGAAGGACCACACAGCTCCCTCAAACTCAGGCAAAACCTAGACAAAACCCAGACACAGCTCATAGATTTCTAGTTTTGAATTTTAAATGTGCAGTTCTGGCCAGAGATATCACAAAGTCATAAGCACTAAGAAGCTTATTGAAGAGTTAAAAACATAAAAATAACAACCAACAAAACAAGGAAAAGCGAAAAGCCAGAAATAAATAAAAACAAACCCCTGAAATAATAGTAAAAAAATAAGAAACGGTGCTATTGGCTAACCGTTACTCAAAAAACAATAGTTTAGTATTCCTCTAGGGTCAGGGACAAGGATTTGGGAGTCTATATCAGCTATTCAGATTCTCAAGAACCTAGTTCCAGCTCTTCTGGATAGTCTGATCTGTTAGCTGTACCTCGTGCTTCTGCTTAGGTTGTATTCTTATGAAGGGTTTTGGTTCTTTACACATAGAAATCCCAAGATTAAACTCAGATTCCTTTCTGTTATGAAATGTCTACAAGCAACTTCAAAAAGAATGACAATTGATTGTTGAGCTCCTTACTTGTATGGTGGACACTATTCCAAATCCTTCAGATATTTTGTTTTCTTAATAAAATAAACATAAGTGCCTTGCCAATCCTATGAGAGAGTATAATAGGTTATAAAAATGGATCCATCTTTCCACCCTTCCTGATAAACATACCCCCATTACACAGTGGTTTTGCTGATTTTCTGTCAAGAGTAGAGTCTATTTCTCTACTCCTTAAATGTGAGCTGGCCTTATGACTTGCTTAGACCCAATGCTCCAGAAGTGACTGAGTCAATTCTAAGTCTAAGCCTCAAGAGGCCTTGTATGCTTCAACTCCCCCCCAGTTCAATTCTTTTGGAACCTCGACAGTTACCATGTAAAGAAGCCCAGGCTAGCTTGGTGAAAGATGGGATACCACATAAACCAGACATTTCCCAACTCACCTGGTAACTGGACTCAGATGCATGAATAAGCCCAGCTGAGACAGGAGACCCAGTAGAGTCAAAATTGATTATTCACAGAACCCTAAGCTAAATAAATGGCTTTTCTTTCAAGTCATTAGCTTTTGGGGGTGATTTGTTCCACAGTAAAATTAGCTGATATAGAAAGATACTATTATTATCATTTGACTAATGGATAAAGTGATGTACAAAGATATCAGATAAAAATTTCAGAATCATACAACTTGGAAACAAGGTAGAGCTGAGATTCAAACCAACACAATCTGCCTCCAGAAGTTAGTCATTCTACTACACTGTCCAGGGCCTTCCATACACTTTCATTAATTCATTCATTCATTCGTTTGTTTGTTCATCAAGTCTACATTAAGTACTTATCATACACCAAACAACATGCTAAATATTGATGATACAATGATGAATAAAATTGCATCTTTGCCCTCAAGGGGCTAATATTCTAGTACAGGTAAATTAAACATACCAACTGAATAATTACAATTGATAATTGCCCTAAAAAAAGGCTATGTATAAGGAACTATTGGAGTAGGAAAAAAGCAAGT